ATTTATGTTATATCAAGATATGACTTCTTGCAATAGAAAACAAGATGCATTGATTACTTTTTCATGGAATATCTTACTTTAAACTTGATTTTCTTATTGTGTCTTGCTTACTTCTCTGTTCAAAATCCTGTTTGATTCCTCAGGAGCTTATTAAAGATCAAGTGGCAAACATGTACCTATGGCCCAAAGCCCTAGAAGTACCAATCATGGATCCTACAATGTAAGTGTGTGATGGTTTAATTTCGACTAAATGTGTAAAGTCGTTTGTTGTGACTTAATAATTTTGTTTAATTCTGTCAGGGCTATGAGGAAACCTGTTGGGGTTCTTCATGTAAAAGTTATAAAGGCAATAAAGCTTAGAAAGAAAGATTTATTAGGAGCAGCAGATCCTTATGTGAAACTCAAGCTCACTGAGGACAAGCTTCCTTCAAAGAAAACAGCTGTGAAACACAACAATTTGAACCCAGAATGGAATCAAGAGTTTAATTGGGTTGTCAGAGACCCAGGGACTCAAGCATTAGAGGTTATAGTTTATGATTGGGAAAAGGTATGGTTCTTTGTTTGGACTTGTGAAAGGAAGTAGACACATTTTCCATAGCCTGGTATTTTTTTAATGCAATTATTTATTTTTCCACGATGGATAGAAACCTACATAAGCGAGAAGCCCAGAGTGTACCTTTGGATTTTAAGTAGTATTTTCTACCTTTTCCTCCTTATATTTATCATAATGTGGGTTTCATTTTCCTTAGATTGGCAAACACGACAAAATGGGTATGAATGTCATTCCACTAAAGGATCTTACACCCGATGAGCCTAAAGTTGTGACTGTTGACATACTGAAAAACATGGACCCAAATGATGCTCAAAATGAGAAGTTACGTGGACAGATTGTTGTGGAACTGATCTATAAACCTTTTAAGGAGGATGAGATGCCTAAAGATGATGAAGATCCAAATGCCATACAAAAGGCTCCTGAAGGAACACCTGCAGGTGGTGGGGTGCTTGTAGTTTTAGTCCACGAAGCTGAAGATGTGGAAGGAAAGCACCACAATAACCCACAAGTGCGAATACTCTTCAGAGGAGAGGAGAGAAGAACCAAGGTATATAAGTCTGATGTTGCTGTCATTGTCTTTTTGGTTGTATCTCCTGTTCTTGTTTATAGTTGTTGTATGCTAAAGAAGCATAGAGAGGAAAGGAGGCATCATATTCCTATATGAAAACTTAATTTGTTGTGGCCCCACTTTTTACAGGTTCACTTTTGCATTCCTAGTTTGTCGAAAAATGAGAAGAAATAGTTAAATCCTGCATTCGATATGCATAGTATCACTTTATTGATGTTCATGCATGTGTATTAGTTAATACAAAGTTTGGATGATAGACGAAACTGCTATGGATATGTATTGGGTTTCCCTCCGACCCACTGTGATGCTGATACAATACGAAAAGATTGAATGCCGTTCATTTTATTTGATTTTGCTACAGTCATTTTGTATATGAACTGACAGTTTCATTGGGTACTGACACAGGTTGTCAAGAAAAATCGTGATCCAAGATGGGATGAGGAGTTTCAGTTTATGTTAGACGAACCACCTAAAAGCGATAGGCTTCATGTTGAAGTAGTTAGCATGTCCTCAAGGATGGGCCTGCTGCATCCCAAGGTACGCATTGGAACCACCATAAAGATCACTTCATCCCTTAGACACTGCAACAAATTTAACCTATATGTAGTAGACTTGAGTTTTTAAATAACCATCTGGTGTTTTTCTTGCAATCAGGAAACTCTTGGATATGTGGATATAAACTTGGCGGATGTTGTTAGCAATAGAAGAATCAATGAAAAATACCATCTGATTGACTCAAAGAATGGACGGCTTCAAATTGAGCTGCAGTGGAGAACATCTTAGGTGATTGCAGTAAAGATTGGGTAGAAATGGGTTAAACCTATCCAAGTTTTCTAGGTTTGTTTGCTTTCAAGTTCGTTGTACAATTGAGATATATGTTGCCAGAGTAGAGACAGTTTGTCTTTAGTTCGAAGAAGAATTTATTGTAAATTCCAGATTCGTTAAGATCATCTCCTGTGCGTTTATGTGATGCTTCGTATTGATTTCACCATTTTACCGCTGCTATTGACATCACCCTGCCGGACAGTTTTAAGTCATATCAATGGTATATTTCATTTTAATGATTTCATGCTTCCTAGGGACGAAAAGAATAGATGATTGATTTTGATTGTATGTGTTGCCTTTGCCTTCTCAAGTTAGGAATTTTAAAGCGTAACACTATATAATCCCCTTCTTTTCTATTATTTTATTCTTTCCTTGGCGAAGTACAAAAGCTTCGGCCATATCCCAGTTCACTTGGGTGCCAGAAACAAAAAGGCCCCATTAAAATTGATCAATTGTGATCCAATGGTCCAGCTTAAAATTGTTTAGACCCACACTGCAACCCTTTTGTCTTAGGAAATTGGGGGCCGTGAATTGAAATATATAGCCCAATATTCAACGGTAGATGTGACCTTTTGCCCACTTTACACTCTATTTGATAGAACACTGAACACTGAACACTGAACACTGGTACACTTGGGTGAGAATAATTCATCATCACCATCATTTGCAATATTGAAAAGTTGTTCTTTGAATGACGGGAGGGCAAATCATCTGCTGCTCCCTCCCTATCATCCCATTCTATCAACTCCGCATATAATTCGACTCGAAATGAAAGAAAAGTGTGTTATCCTTACCAAAATAAGTAAAAGTAGGCATCATTGTTATTCATAGGTTGCTTCCCTACCTTCCCTTCCCATCCCATCTCAAGGCTGAACTGAAACTTCCTCATGAATGACTACGATGATGTTATTAAACACATTTTTGATAAATAAACATATTTTATTTTACTTTTGAATACAAGTGACGGTCTAAATTATTAACAAGATGGAGAATTTTACACCCATATGTAATTCAATGTCATTTTCCATCCCCCTTTGTCAATAATCATAATTGATTTGAACCCAATAAAAGACTGAACACTGAACACTGAACACTGGTACACTTGGGTGAGAATAATTCATCATCACCATCATTTGCAATATTGAAAAGTTGTTCTTTGAATGACGGGAGGGCAAATCATCTGCTGCTCCCTCCCTATCATCCCATTCTATCAACTCCGCATATAATTCGACTCGAAATGAAAGAAAAGTGTGTTATCCTTACCAAAATAAGTAAAAGTAGGCATCATTGTTATTCATAGGTTGCTTCCCTACCTTCCCTTCCCATCCCATCTCAAGGCTGAACTGAAACTTCCTCATGAATGACTACGATGATGTTATTAAACACATTTTTGATAAATAAATATATTTTATTTTACTTTTGAATACAAGTGACGGTCTAAATTATTAGCAAGATGGAGAATTTTACACCCATATGTAATTCAATGTCATTTTCCATCCCCCTTTGTCAATAATCATAATTGATTTGAAACCAATAAAAGAAATCCATTGTCTAAAGTAATTAAACATCAGTCACCAATGAAATACCCAAATTCCCATTCTGAAATTATTATAACTTTGATTGCTCCAGCTGTTGGCTGTGAATTTTGCAGCAAAGAAGAGACAAATTTGAAGCTTCCTTTGGACCCCAAGCCGAGCATGTGCGTCTGTATGGACCTCTGTGCACTCACTCAAACACGCGCCAATGCTTGAAAAACAAGATGAGTCTTTTCACCCTTTAGCTAGGGCTTTTAGCTAGTGCTAAACTTTTAGGCTCAACTTGTTCCTGGAGAAGTCTGACTTGAAACACAATCCTCATTCATTGGTGCTGTGGTGGGGTTCCCTTGTACCACAGCCAACCATGCTTCCATTTTTTTGGGTCCCAAACGAAACCCACCTTCCATGATTTTTCCTTTTCATGGTCTAAAAAATTACAAGTATAATGGATAGAGAGTAGCACCTTCCTTGAGGAACAAATTAAATCTGTAAAGAAGACGAATATTAGACTAAAATAATCATCACCACCAAGCAGCTTAAACTATGCCTGCACTTGGCAAATTTGACTTCTTCCAAGTATCAAGTACCCCTAAACAAAAAAGCTGCATTTTAAAGGAGAAAAGAAAATTCTCCACCTTTTCGTTTTTCTTTGATAAAACTAATAGGTATTATTATTGTTTTAAAATCAATAGCCGTCTTTATTCTCCAACACTTGAGAGAGAATATGAATCTGTTCTCCAATCCATCCAACCAACCAATCTAGGCGTTGGAGTTGGAGGAAAACACGAAAGAATCGATGCTCTGTCTCTGTTGTGACAATTTGTGCGGTTATGAAATCATATCCTCCCCCCAATTCCCAAGTAATATACTTGAACCACTTGAACCAGAATCATCACTTTCATTTTTAGCATATAAATCATCAAAAAGAGCTCCATATCCACAAAAGCCAACTTTCTTATAAAGACGACGTCAAACAAGTATACTAGTATTTTAACCAAAGTCGTCTCTACAACACAACACAATGGTGAATGCTGAATGTTGTTTCACTTAACACTATAATTCATAACTCACATTAACAAGATTCACATTAACAAGATTAATAAGGGGTCAAATTACCAATCTAGATCCCCATGCATGGCCCATCCATGACTCAAGGATCCATATCGATGAAAGAGGCTAAAGAAAGGACACAGACGAAGAGTGGACTTTTAGCTCACAGCCAAATTTAGTCAGACGGAAATTTGACCGTCTGGGAAAAGACACACACAGTCTTTACTCTGGGCCCAGCATTGCCCCAAGCCCATTCAGATCCCTCACTTCTCAGAAAGGTACCATCCACATCGACCTTTGTTTCTGAACACTGGCCCGAAAGAAAAAAACACACATTTATATCACTAAAATCCAAAAAGCTAGCTAGCTAATAGCCATGCAACAAAAACGTATTTAAAACATATTATTGATTGATCACTGTGATCTCTGTCTGACCATGAAACGTAGAATCTAAAACTTGTAAAAAAAACAAGGATTAGTAAAACGTAAACTTGGATAATACTGGGATTTAGTAAGGAGGAAGAAATTATATCACGTCAAAGTAAAACTGGTGAAGCTGACACGGGAGGGCAGGGACGAGAAGAGACATCTCTGCCACTGCCAGCAGCAATATTGTCAAGTATCTGGCATTGAGACGACCACCCCATCACGCCGTCAAAACACACCTATCCCATTGAGAGAGGGAAAAAGTACAACCCATTAACGCCGTCAATCTCAACGTCCACTACAGTCTGCCCGGTACCTGTACGAAATATACAAGGCGCGCCCTAGTCCACACAGAGACTTAACCATCCGTCTAGCACCGTGAATTGAGTAGGGTACTGTGGGGCCCGCAACCCAAACTGCCCGGTCTTACTTGACAGACGGACGGACAGACAGACAGACCCCTATAGCTATGCTTGCTATAGGACATGAAATTAGAATCGTCTCTCCCTCATGCAAGATGCAACTCGCTTTCTCCCACTCTCATCACTTCCCAGTTTTTCCATTTGTTTATCCATTATTATAATTATTATTCAACTTTGACGCTGATACTTCTTCGATTCTCCTCCCAATTTCCCAAAGGCCAAACCACCAAACCCAATCCCACCACCATATTATTGCATTGTGCTCAACTTCGCATATATACAAGTAACGCTATCTGCAGAAGCACAAAGAACGAAATAAGGAACCAACATCACCATTAATTAAAGATGGTAAGCTCCAGTTGCTGCCAGATTCTCACCATTTGCTTTATGATTTTCCTTTTCTGCTCACCGTGCGGCGGATACGGTGACCTTCACGCACTGTTGAAACTCAAGTCCGCCATGATTGGACCCAAAGGTTCAGGCCTCGAGGACTGGAACACTTCGTCCTTGTCTCCCTCATTTCACTGCTCCTTCTCCGGAGTTTTGTGCGACAGCGACTCCCGAGTGGTTGCTCTCAACGTCTCCAATCAGCCTCTGTTAGGCACTCTTCCGCCGGAGATTGGGCTCCTCAACAAGCTCGTCAACCTCACTATCGCCGGGGACAACATCACAGGGAGGCTTCCAATGCAGATGGCCAACCTCACCGCTCTCAGGCACTTGAACATCTCCAACAACGTCTTCAGGGGCAGATTCCCAGGCAATATCACGCTCCAAATGACGGAGCTCCAAGTTCTCGACGCCTACAACAACAACTTCACGGGCACACTTCCTCTGGAGATCGTCAATCTCAAAAATCTCAAACATCTCCAACTAGGCGGGAACTACTTCACCGGCAACATCCCCGAGACTTACTCGGAGATGCAGAGCTTGGAGTATTTAGGCCTCAACGGCAACTGGCTCACCGGAAAGTTCCCGGCGAGCTTGGCTCGTTTGAAAAATCTCAAGGAAATGTACGTCGGCTACTATAACAGTTACGACGGCGGAATTCCACCGGAGTTGGGATCGTTGAGCTCTCTGCAGGTCCTAGACATGGCCAGCTGTAACCTCAGCGGCACCATACCCACCAATCTCAGCTTTTTGAAGAATTTGAACTCTCTGTTTCTACAGATAAATCGTCTCAGCGGCGGCATACCTCCGGAACTATCTGGCTTGGTCAGCCTCATGTCTTTGGATCTCTCCATCAACGATCTCACCGGAGAGATACCCCAGAGCTTCTCAGAGCTCAAGAACATCACGCTTATCAATTTGTACAAGAACAATCTCTACGGCGCAATTCCTAGGTTCGTTGGTGATTTTCCTCATCTGGAGGTGCTTCAGGTTTGGGAGAACAACTTTACGTTCGAGCTGCCGGAGAATCTCGGCCGGAACGGAAGGCTCAAGGACATCGATATCACCGGAAACCACATCACCGGGTTTATTCCTCGGGATTTGTGCGAAGGAGGGCAGTTGAAGACGGCGATTCTGATGGATAACCACTTCTTCGGGCCCATTCCTGAGGAACTCGGCCGGTGCAAATCGCTCGTCAAAATTCGAATGATGAAAAACACTCTCACTGGAACTATTCCTGCTGGCATTTTCAGTTTGCCTAATGTAAGTATGATCGAGCTCAATGATAACTACTTGTCTGGCCAACTTCCAGAGCAAATGTCTGCAGGCTTACTTGGAATTCTCACTCTTTCTCGGAATCGGATTTCCGGGAAAATCCCGCCGGCGATTGGAAATCTCAAGAGTTTGCAAACTCTTTCCCTGGAGATGAACAGATTTTCCGGTGAAATTCCGACGGAGATATTTGATCTGAAGTCGTTGTCGAAGATCAACATCAGCGCCAACAACCTCAGCAGTGAAATTCCGGCATCAATTTCTCAGTGTTCCTCTCTAGCCTTCGCTGATCTTAGTCAAAACAATCTGATTGGGGAAATTCCGAGAGGCATCTCCAAGCTGAGAGTCCTGAGCATTCTCAATTTGTCTAGCAACCAACTCACGGGCGAAATTCCCAATGAAATTCGCAATATGACCAGCCTCACAACGCTCGATCTCTCCGATAACAACTTCATCGGCAAACTCCCAACCGGCGGTCAGTTTATGGTCTTCAACGACACGTCGTTTGCTGGAAACCCGTATCTCTGTTCCCCGCAGCGCCACGTCCAGTGCCCATCGTTTCCACACCACAAGGCGTTTGGTTCGTCCAGGATCGCTCTTATCGTAATTGGACTCGCTACGGTTCTGCTATTCTTGTTTATCACCGTGTATAGAATGAGAAGGAGAGAGATGCAGAAATCTAGGGCTTGGAGGCTCACCGCCTTCCAACGGCTCGATTTCAAAGCCGAGGACGTGCTGGAGTGTTTGAAGGAAGAGAACATCATAGGCAAAGGCGGTGCTGGGATTGTGTACCGCGTCCATGCCAGACCTCGTTGACGTGGCAATCAAACGGCTAGTGGGGCGGGGCACCGGACGTAACTGTAACGATCACGGTTTTTCGGCGGAAATAAAAACGCTGGGACGAATCAGGCACCGAAATATCGTGAGGCTGTTGGGGTACGTGTCGAACAAGGACACGAATTTGCTGTTGTACGAGTACATGCCAAATGGGAGCCTGGGGGAGTTGTTGCATGGGTCAAAGGGAGGGCATTTGCAGTGGGATAGGAGGTACAGGATCGCTGTGGAGGCAGCCAAGGGATTGTGTTACCTCCACCATGACTGCTCACCTCTGATTATACACAGGGATGTCAAGTCCAATAACATCTTGTTGGACTCTGACTTGGAGGCCCATGTTGCCGATTTTGGGCTCGCTAAGTTCTTGCAAGATGCTGGTGCTTCCGAGTGCATGTCTTCCATTGCTGGTTCCTATGGCTACATAGCCCCAGGTACCAACTTTTATTCATCTTCTTCTCCTTCAAGACCCAACGAGAAATAATTTTGAATTGTTTTTGGGCTCATGAATAGGCCTTAAACTTTTTACTTTGAAGTGGGATGAACATGAACTTTTGTGTGTGTTTGTTTTTGGTGTGAACAGAGTACGCTTACACACTGAAAGTGGACGAGAAAAGCGACGTGTACAGCTTTGGTGTGGTTCTGTTAGAGCTAATAGCCGGGAGGAAGCCGGTGGGTGAATTCGGAGACGGGGTGGACATAGTAAGGTGGGTGAGGAAAACAACATCAGAACTGTCTCAGCCGTCGGATGCAGCATCAGTACTGGCAGTGGTGGATGCAAGGCTGTGTGGGTACCCACTGGCAGGGGTGATACACTTGTTCAAGATTGCCATGATGTGCGTGGAGGATGAGAGCTCCGCGAGACCTACAATGAGGGAAGTGGTTCACATGCTCACTAATCCTCCACGCTCTGCTCCAAGCCTTCCCAACCTGTAGCGCCTACTAATATTTTTGAGTAAATAAAATCGCAGCATCCCCACCAAGTTCAAATAATTTAGTGCTAAGAGTTCGTGAGTGCATAACAAAGTAGTTGCCAATGTCATTGCCACGGTATAGTAGGAGAAGGGTTCAAATATATTATTGCTTTTCACTGAAATGGATCCATTTTCCTTTTTGTCACTGTAAATATATGTCTCGTCTTTTCTTCTTCTTCATGTAACTTTATAGTGTAATGTAATATGATGCTTCGGTTCTTTGGTTACTTATTCTTCTCATCTAACTTGTAATGACTCTTGAAGAAGATAATAAATCACATTGGACTATTACTTCGGCCTTTGAATGCATTAACTTGGCGGAACTACCTTAATGAATGACTAAGGTGGGCTGTAGCCTAGGGAGAATTTTGGGGATTAAAATAATCAAACTTGTATATTTAACTTGTTTTTTTTTTTTGTTAAGAAATTCTATGATTGCATTTATAATTCAATCAAAAAACCACTAGTTACAAAGGGTCAATACAAACTAGGGTTTATAATTAGTATTTTCATTTTATAATATGTGCCTTTTGGTTTCATTAATATGTATTTGTTTTATGTTAAACTTTATTATAAATTAGCATTTAGTCATGCACTCGAGATCCTATGTTCGATTACCCCCTTCACAAATATTGCTTGTATAAAAAGGGAAAAAAAAAGTCAATGAAATTATGAACTAACGTGACTTATATGATTTAATGTATACTTTTATTTCTAGAAAGACTATAGAAACTGTAAGTAAAAAATATATATCATTAGATTTTAAGGTAATAACTTTAGCTAATCCACTTGTTGCGACAAAACCCGCCAATTTGATATTTTTTTTTAAATTAGTATTCAAAACAATAAGTTATTTTTAATCATACCATACAAAATTGGCATTGTTCTATAATAATTTCACAATTGAATTGTTAGTGGCTTTACCACTCATGAAACAAGTTCCTTTTTTACTTCGATTTCATATGTTATTGCTCTATCAATTATAGTTTATCTTTTCATGTCTTATTGTCGCAGCAAAGTGTTTTGTAACAAATGATTCATATTCATTAGATGAGGTGTTCTGCAATGCAAAGGATAAGACCGTAACTTTGGTCTGTACAGTCTAAATGGGTCAATGGTTATTTGTCGGAAATAGGATTTGAAAAGGATAGGAAATGGATGAAGTTATTTATTTTTAGTTTTTAAAATCAAATTTATTATTAAATAAAATTATAAAAATATGAAAATATGAAAATATAAAATTGTAATTTTGCTTTGCTTTTTTGAAGGGCTGTGTTCAATTTAAATACGCTCCATTTTAGCGCTAAAGTGCAAAGCAGAAGATAGGCGCACAGCAGAGACGAAGCAAGCACCGGCGCATCGAATATGGAGATCAACAGTCCACCGCCGTGTTCAAACACGGTGACGATCCGGCGTAACCCACACCGGAGGGCTAGGCCTCCTCCAACGCCAGCCACGGCAGCTCCGGAAATGCCTTCCGCGGATGTGGCCAAAGTACGGTCTTTTCCAACCGAGGAGATTCTCTCCATGGACATCGCTAAAGCAGACCCTGTGTCAGAGAACCTCAGAGTTTTTCTGAGGATTCGGCCACTTCTGCACGGTGGTGTTGGGGGAGATCGGAATTCAAAGCCGAGATTCAAAAACGTTTGGCCCCAAAACCCCGCAAAGAGGAAATCGGCGATTGGACGAGCATTGCAGAGCAAGAAGAACAAAGATGCGGAGGTCTGTGTTAGGGTCAATAATCCTCAGTCTGTGACGCTATCAACACCGCTAGCGTTGCAAGAGAGTAACCGCATAAAGACGGAGGTTTATGACGGCTTTTCCCACGTCTTCTCCCCTGATTCCTCTCAGGTTTTCTTTATTCCGTTTATAGACTTCAGTTCTCCTTTATGTTTTGTTTGGTTACAGAGAAAGTGCTGTAAAACTCAATTGAAAGTTCAATTTCATTTTCGGTTGTTTTTCTTCTTCTTTCTATTATCACAATTTATCTATTTTTTTGTCTCTTTTTGTCGAATATGTGTTTTTGTTGATAGGAGGAGGTGTATGAAAAGATGGTGAGGCCATTGGTGGACGATTTTCTGAGGGGCAAAAGTGGGATGCTTGCTGCATTGGGGCCTAGTGGCTCTGGAAAGACTCATACAGTTTTTGGGTGCCCCAGGCAACCCGGTATGGTGCCCCTTGCCCTTCAACACATTTTCAAGCAGACTCGAGGAAGTAATTCTGAGTCTATGAGGTATTAGGCGGTATCAAATCAATGAGAGATTCTAGTATGAATTATTACTCGATTTATTTTGTATGACATCTTCATTCTTTCACAGATCATTTTTCATATCAATCTTTGAGATAAGCTCTGAAAGGGGGAAAGGAGAGAGATTATTTGATTTATCTCCTAATGGAGGTGATTTATGCATGCAGCAATCAACACTAAAAGGCCTACAAGAGGTTGAGTACTCTTTTGAGTTTTTTTTTTAATTATGTGGTTGGATATTAAAAATAACTAGCACCTACTCTATTTTTTTACACAGATAGCCATTTCTGATGCCAGACAGGCAGAGTCCATAATTGCTCAGGCAATGCTAAAGCGTGCAACTGGTATGACAAATGCAAATAGCCAATCAAGGTGTGGCAGTGCTTCAGCTTATAAAATTCTTTACATTAACTGGAGTTTCCATGTTATTAATGACTTTAAATATTCTATATTTTGGCTATTTTTCTACATGGTTTCTTACATTCGATTATTAATTCTTTACAATCATATAAGTATTATGGCAACTTTTTCTTTATATGCTTCTAGCCGGTCACAGTGTATTATTAACATCCGTGGTGTTGCTGACAAGTCTAATGGAGAGGGTGATGATCAAGCAAATGATGGTGTCCTTAGTATAGTTGATCTTGCTGGAGCTGAAAGAGAAAAAAGAACTGGGAATCAGGTTTCACTCATGTGACTGAATTATTCTCACTGAACTAGCTGTTTGGTTGATGTTGAAATTTACGGCTTAGGTTTTCTTTTTTCTTTTTTTAATTTTCAGGGAGTAAGATTGCTTGAAAGTAATTTCATCAACAACACATCAATGGTCTTTGGCTTGTGCTTGAGAGTATGTAGCCTTAACTTTGTTTTCTATACCTCATTCTTCATGTGCACTTGATCATAACCAGTTTACCATTTTTCTTGGATGATTATTGCCTTCTTATTTTTGATGACTTATAAGGCACTTATTGTTTTCCTAGCTCTCTCTATACATAATCTGTGTGTGTCTATAGTCGTTTTCCCTTTCATTTTTTGTGGTTTTAGTCTTTATTGGAGCATCAGAAGAACCCTAAGAAGCCGTTGCAGAAGCACTTCCAGAACTCTTTGGTAATATTTTCCTTTACTGATTTACTATTCTCACTAGTCCTTTATTTGGCTATAGCTTTTTTATACATATACACATAGCAGACCGGATATGGGCTACTGAGACGCATTTCGCCATCGTGCATCTTAGTTGTCCATATTTGATCTAATGACAGAAACAAGTTTTTTTTAAGTACCTTATTTAAAGGCTTTGTTGGAGACAACTATAAGTACATAGTTCTCTCTTAAGCATTTTGAATGGGATCTTGTTTGTAAGTTAGATCAGATATTCTAATTGGCACTGAAATATTGCTATCTTTGGAGGTCTTTTGATAACTTGAGTCCAGTTGCTTAGGATCAAATGTTATGAATGTGATTTTTATCTTTGGACAGTTGACCAAGTACCTGCGAGAGTATTTGGAAGGCAAGAAGAGGATGGCATTGGTATGCTGTCTTATTTAATTGGCTAAATAAGTTTGTTGATAAATTTTTTATGAGTAGGAATATTGAAAGCAAGTGTTCATTTTTTTGTAGTTCTGCTGTGTTTCAAATTATCTCACATGCTTTAATTGTTAAATTTGCAGATATTAACAGTTAAATCAGGAGAAGAAGATTATCGTGATACATCTTACGTGCTAAGACAAGCCTCGCCTTATATGGAAATCAAGTAAATTCCCCCCCTCCCCAAACCCGCAAGAAACTCATTATTTATATTTTTTTGGGTATCAGCTGTTACTGTTTTTTGTATTATGTATTCAGGTACAATACCGTTGAAGAACCATCAAATATCTCATACAACAAAAGACATGTCCAAGCTTTGTCTAGAAGTGAGCGGCACAAGAGAATGAAAGTTACTGGTTCTGATGCCTGCTTGGTATGTCTTTTTTGGTTAAATTATACTTTCCCTTCTTAATATCATTTAATATTTACTTTGTGTCCCAATTTGATTGGTGGCGTAGATTTTATTTTGACATTATGCTTCTTTGAAGGGTAAATGTAAAATCACTTCACTTCATTTTTTCCCTGCAATGGCTTTCTTGAAACTTTGCTTGACTGCATCATTGTAAATAGAACACTAGATGCCTCTTGATTGAAATGATACCTTAAGGGGGTTAGAATTTCTTTTTTGACTTGGTTTCTGGTCTGTATTTGTATTTATGCATGCACATGTTGAAGCTTAATTTTATGTTTTACATTGGGTTTTGAAAACTAATTATTTCAGCTTAGATTTGGTTTTGAAAATTGATTATTACATTTGGTTTTGTTGTTTATGAAATATTTTTTGCATCTATGCTTAAGCTTAATAGTTTGAATAAGAAATAACAAGTATGACATCGATTATGGTTCCCAATTGTCTGTATTACAATTGAATGAATTTAAAGACAAGCCTAACCTGAATTAGATGTTAATTTTTGGTACTAAAATTGATTTGCTTTTTCCCTGGTCATCTATCCTACTGGATTTCGTATTGTGTACATTTTATTGACTAAGCTGAAACTTACTGTAATTTTATAAAGTATTTTGGCCCAAGTATACATTTTTCCTTTTGGTTTGATTTCAGATTGATGAAGGAAAAAGCATTGAAGCTGAAAATGGACTTTGTGAGGAAGGTTCTCTCAAAAGCAGTGGTAAGTTATATGGGTTTTATTCTTTTCTTTTCTCATTCCAACTGCTTGGATCCCTTATCTAATTTTCTTATTTTCTATTGAGAATATGTGACACGCATAAGTTTTTTTAGAGGAGCCAGGAATCTGCAAAGTGGACATGAGTGGTTGTGCACCTTCAAAATCAGGTTGTGCTGACTCTGGAGAAGGAGAGAGAAACCATCAGATAATGCAGAGTTTTGCTAAAGCTTTATGGAATGTTTTGAAGCAGTATAAAGAAAAACTCAAGGTAATCCAGAGTCTAAATATTTCGGGAAGTGATTTGTTGTTCTTTTGATACATATTTCTGCAAT